TTAAACTTAAAAGCTTTTGCACAGCAAAGAAACCCATAAGCAAGGTGAAAAGACAACTCTCAGAATGGGAGAAAACAATCACAAATGAAACAACTGATAGAGAATTAATTTGCACAATATACAAGCAGCTCATACAACTCAATAGCAGAAGAACAAAGAACCCAATCACAAAGTGGGTAAAAGATCTAAACAGACATTTCTCCAAAGAAGACATACAGATGGCTAAAAAACACATGAAAAGATGGTCAACATTGCTCATTATTAGAGAAATGTGAATCAAAACTACAATGAGATATTACCTCATACCAGTCAGAATGGCCATCATCAAAAAGTCTACAAACAATAAATGCTGGCAAGGGTGTAGAGAAAAGGGAACACTCTTGCACTGTTGATGGGAATGTAAATTGATTCAGCCAATATGGAAGATACTATGGAGATTCCTTAAAAAACTAGGAATAAAACCACCATATGACCCAGCAATCCTACTCCTCAGTATATACCCTGAGGAAACCAAAATTGAAAAAGACACATGTATCCCATTGTTCATTGCAGAACTATTTACAACAGCTAGAACGTGGAAGCAACGTAGATGTCCATTGACAGATGAATGGATAAAGAAGCTGTGGTACATACACACAATGGAATATTACTCAGCCATAAAAAGGAATGCCTTTGAGTCAGTTCTGATGAGGTGAATGAACCTAGAGCCTATTATACAGAGTGAAATAAGTCAGAAAGAGCAAGGTAAATATCATATCCTAACACATATATACGGAATCTAGAAAAATGGTACTGAAGAACTTCATTACAGGGCAGAAATGGAGAAACAGACACAGAGAATAGACTTATGGACATGGGGAGAGGGCAGGAGAGGGTGAGATGTATGGAAAGAGTAACATGGAAATTTACACTACCATGTGTAAAATACATGGCCAACGGGAATTTGTTGTATGCCTCAGGAAACTCAAACACTGTGAGGAAACTCTATGTCAATTGGGAGGGATGGGATGGGGAGGAAGATGGGAGAGGGGATCAGGAGAGAGGGGATATATATATATATACCTATGGCTGATTCATGTTGAGGTTTGACAGAAAACAACAAAATTCTGTGAAGCAAGTACCCTTCAATAAAGAAATCAATTAATTGAATAGAAAGAAGATAAGCAAATGGTAAATAAGCACATGACAAACCACCTGAGCCGCCCATCCAGCCTGACCCCTACCCTCACCCCATGTAAAGAACATGCTTGTCCCCACTTGGGGAATAAGCAAGCAAGGGAATTGGTTGCTTGTTCTCACTTCTCCCCTGCACCCAACTGCTTCAGGGGCCTCAGAATTTCCTTGCCAGAATTTCTTGCCTTGCCAGAATTTCTTGTCTGTCCTCTAGTCAATTTCTATTGATTAAAGAGGCAAAGAATCCTGATCAGTAACACTATCTATCAGAGTGACTCTGTAAAAAAAAAATAGTTATAACACCAAGTGCTGGTGAGGATGTGGAGAAACTGTGTCATACATCATTGCTGGTGAAAATGTAAAATTGTACAGCTACTCTGAAAAACCATTTGGACACCTAAGCCTACTAGTGAGAAAAGAGTTGTCATGAATAGTGCCTGAGTGGATAGGCTAGGTTATGCTGCATTAACAAAAACACAAAAATGTCAGTGGCTTAAACAATAGAATAGGTTTTGTTAATGGAAGTTAGTCAGACGTGGTGGCTGAGAGAGTCGTCACACATACTTTTCCAGTTACCATGGCAAGACAGTGGGGACTTCACAAGCTACACCAACTCTGAAAGCCCCTGCCCTGAAGTTGCCCACATCTTCACATCCTCACTGCTGCTCACATTTTTAGGGCCAAACAAGGATGTATCCACCTACTTCAGGAAGGGGAACAGGAAGTTTGGAGTCAGAACAGGGGTCACTATGGTGTCATCAAGCACAACTGTCTCAGCTACAAAGGAGAGGACCTGGGTTTGAAGCTCTATCAGGATCTCAGAGCTGAAACCTGGACCCAACTCGAGACCTATCTTCCCACAGGAAGGGTCTCCACGGCCCGGTGTTTGTAACTCCTAGCAAAGGGCTGCAGGAGAGCTTGGGTGATAACTGATTATGACTCAAACTTGTCTTGACCAGGAAATGGAAGGCACATGGGGGAAATTCTTTTGCTGTAATACCTGTCAAATATTTCTGAGTTTTGGGCTCTTTGCTTTAGAAAGGTCTTCCCTGGTAGCTCAGCTGCTAAAGAATCTGCCTGCAATGCAGGAGACCCCAGTTCGATTCCTGGGTCAGGAAGATCCCCTAAAGAAGGGATAAGCCACCCACTCCAGTATTCTTGCCTGGAGAATTTCGTGGACAGAGGAGCCTGGCAGGCTATAGTCTGTGGAGTCAGAAAGAATTAATTAGAGTCAACAAGGAGATGGGTATCTTCTCTGGTCAGCATCGTCTGTGACAGTCTTCATTCAAACACAGCAACTCATTCTTTCTGCAAAACAGCTCTCCTGGCACCACATGCAATCAGATGCTTAGAAAGCGATTTCTGGTGAAGTCAGGGATCAGAAAAAGGTGCCGTGGAGGGTTTGAGTATATGGCTGCAAAAGAAGACTAGCAATTTCCCTAAACAATTGAATCCAGGAGACTAGAACGCTGTTTCAGCTTGATCAGATACTAAAAATAGCTGTGCTGGAGACTATTCACTCCCTGGAAGTAGTGCTAATGCAGCCTGTAACCAGTGCGAAAGCAGCAGCCCCTCCATATTCCCACTTCCCTTTGTGGCCCCTCCCACTCTGGGGGTCACGGCTAAGAGGTCCAGGTGGGCACCATCCATGACAGCCATTTTTCAGGCCGATGACCTTCAACCTGCAACCTGATTGAAAGAGGAGCTGATTCCAACCCATAACTTATCTCGGGAATCTGAATTAAAAGTGCTTAAGGAAGAAGAAATTACAAGAGAAATAAAAGCTAAAAGGTCAAGATGATTAAAGAGCTGGGGCAGCCATTGTTGGCCATGAGCAAGCCAAAGTTACCGGGAAAGAAAAGTCAGGCAGAGCTGAGGAAGCAGGGGGAGGAGGGGTAGAGTGGAGCAAATGGGCTGAGAGGAGCGGGGATACAAGAGGGTGCCCCGACCCTGGAGACCCAGGGCCTCTCAAACAGCCTCACCACCAGCCCAGAGCCCTGGGCCCTCCTTCCAGCGCTGTTGGTTTCTCAGCACATCTTCCTAAGCAGAGGTGGTTCTCTACTAAGGGCAATCTGGTGCCAGGTGTTCACACACCTCTTTCTTACTCTGCTGAAAACTAAAGCACAGCCTACACTCTGCCTCTGAGTCAATCAAAGGGAGCAGAAATCTCTGCCCACCACCAATGGGAACAAATTCAACAACAAGTGTCAATTTAGTCTGATCCCAGTGCTCACAGACCCTTTGGATAAAGAATGACGCCTGAAAAAAAAAAAAAGAATGACGCCTGTTGTGATCCACAGGAAGGTCTCAGTCACATGTGAACATGTCAACACACCATTAGGGCCTCACTGGTCTCAGACCTCTGCCAGTGAGGCCTGTGAGCCCCAGCACCACACACACCAACCAGGACAAAGCAAGCCTGCCTCCAGCTCGGTCCAGGCCACAACTTCCTTGGGACTCCATATTCTCATCAGCAAAATAAGAGACATGGATTAGAATAGCTGATCTGGACAAGGCACCAGAGGGCCCACGGGGTTCGATGCAGTGGCCTGGAAACCTGCACAGAAGGTGGGAGCCAGCAGAACCCCATCTTTAATAGAAGCATCTCACCTCTGATCCCTCTTCCCATGGGGCTGTGGGTTCAGAATTCAGTTGAAGAAATGTTCCCATTGCTGAAGAACACTTGCAAACCATCTGCTTCCATCTCACCCACAGCCCCAGTTTGTCCACAGCAAAGCACCCATTAATGCACAAGCAACTGCTTCTGTGACACTTAGCAGACCATGTGACTTCAAGGCAAAATTTATATCAAGGTGATCCACTCCTGCAGCCAAAGAGCAGGGAAAGGGATTTCCCTGGGGCCACGCTGATGCACACCCAGGTCCACTTCAGGCATGCCCAGCATGGATCCTCTACTGAGAGGATGGCCCAGCCCAGGATTAGGGGGCTGCTAAGTTGCTCCTTGGAAGGAAAGCTATGACAAATCTAGACAGCATATTAAAAAGCAGGGACATCATTTTGCTGACAAAGGTCCATATAGTCAAAGCTATGGATTTTCCAGTAGTCATGTATGGATGTGAGAGTTGGACCATATAAAAGGCCAAGCTCCCAAGAATTGATGCTTTCAAATTGTGGTGCTGGAGAAGACTCTTGAGAATCAGTTGGACTGCAAAAAGATCAACCCAATCAATCCTAAAGGAAATCAACCCTGAATATTCATTGGAAGGACTGATGCTGAATCTGAACTCCAATACTTTGACCATATAATATGAAGAGCCAACTCATTGGAAAAGACCCTGCCTGAGGCTTAGAAAGATTGAAGGCAAAAGGAGGAGGGGGAGGAGGCAGATGAGATGGTTAGATAGCAACGGTAACTCAATGGACACAAATTTGAGCAAGCTACAGGAGATAGTGGAGGACAGAGGAGCCTGGTGTGCTGTAGTCCATGAGGTCACAAAGAGTCAGGAATAACTTAGCAACTGAACAACAACAAAAGCAAAGTTGGATGGGGCTGGTCTCACTCCTGAGACTGAGAGTTGGTTGTCTGTCCATATGTATCCTCTTCTTCCACAGCAGAATCCTGTTATTGCATCTCAGCACATATCACTTGGGGTGAGACCACTTCCCAGCCCCCTTGCAGCCACATGTGGCTGCAAAGTCCAGGAAATGAGATATAAGCAGAAGTGCTATCTGGGATGCCTGGGGAAGTTCTTTCATCAGGGGACAGTGTCAAATGCTCAGTAGCTGTCGTATGTCATGAAAGCCAGGCTAGAAAGGTATCTGGGTTGCTGGTGACTTTAGAGCCATCATATTAGCTGGGACTGTATTTCTAGATTCTTTCTGTGAGAGAAACATAAGATTTTGTTTTATTAAGCCACTGTTATTTTGAATTTGAGATCACATTTAGTTTGACACAACATGGCAAAAAAGTGGTACATGGAGTGGCATGGTGCAAGAGGTAGAGCCTGAAATATAAGTGTGGTTAATGTAATATCAGCTGGCAGGTGACGAGGGCTCAAACTCTAAGCTGAGCAGTGGGTCAGAGTGTTACATAGCGATCATGCATTTGGTAAAATGGTCACCTACTGACCCTCAGATGAGAAACTGAACCTGAGATTCAGAAACTGAAATCTGGGCAGGGAGACTGGGTGGGGAGAGTTCAGGATGTTAGCAGGTGGGAGCTGCAACAGTCGACTTGCTCAGGCAAGACTACCTTCCAGGAGGCCCTTTCCTGCAGGCACCCATGGGGTAGGCCACATGATAACCTCCTTTGAGACCTGGAGGCTGGGGGAGCAGCAGGCTTTGTGTGGTTCCCCTCACGTCCCCCAGCATCAGTGACCTGCTGGCTCGCCTTTTTGGTGGGAAGCTGCAGTTGGCCTGTCTCTGCCCGGTTCCCTGCAGCCTCCTACAGATGTGTGCTCCTGGTTGCACAGGTGTGCAATCCACGCAGGATCCCACTTCTAAGCACCCTGCCTTCAGTGAACGGTGTGCTGTCACCTTCTTGACATTCAGAACTTTGGAACAAGTCTGGAACAAGTATTACTGAACCCAGGTTCAGCTGTTTGCCACTCAGAAGCCAATAGCCTAAGAGGCGTGTGTCAGTAGAAAGGACTTTTAAAGTGTTTTAATCAGAAAGCCAGCAATCTGGGGAGAAGAAGGACTCATGTTCAGAGACCAACTCTGAAGATTCTGCTCACCTAGGACAGTTTTTAAAGAGGAAAATGGAGTGGGGGGAAGAATCTGAACCATCAAGGCAGGAAGTTGGGTTCTGCATCCTTCTCCATTGAGTGTGAACTGGCTGACTCTCTCCTCAGAAATGATCTGCCTGCAGGATTGCTAAGGAAGCTGTTGCAGTTATAGAGCTGAACATTCTTTAACTATTTAATTCTTTATTCTTCCTTCTTTTCATCTAGGAAAAGAATTAAGAAGGTAGACAAGGCATGGTGTGCATTCAGGAGCACATAAGTCAGGAGTTAGGTTAAATTGCCTAGTGATCTCATTCCTACAAGTAGTTTCTTTTAAGGTTAGAGGGGACAGAAATGGGCAAATGGGAAAGGGAAGAAAAGAAAAAGGAGTCCCTTTCACAAGGGACTCTGCATTGTCACTTTGCATTGGGTCCAGCAATTTAAGTAGCCTCCTGCATAGTGAGTTAACATCTCTGTTCACAAAGTTTTGCGTGCATGTATGTTTGTGACAGAGAGAGAGGGGGCAAGCTCGAGCTCAGCACAGTGATTAAGGCCCCGGGCAGAGAAGATAAGGAGACTGCAGAGCTGAGGGAGGGACTGTCTGCCCACAGCCCCTGCTTTTGCATCCTAGCAGAGCTAGAAAGCAGCCCTTTAGAGGAAATGAGATGGTGATCTCCGCATAGAGGCAGTGAGACTGCTGGCAAGGAGATTAACCTTCATGACAAAGCCCGTTGTTTAGATGGCCTCAAACAGAGGCACCAAGCTGAGGACAGAGCAAACAGTAAAAGACGAGAATCTTCAGGCTTGAAAACCATGTACAGGCAAGATCTTTAATTGATTTTTTTAATTTTTTATTTTATATTGGAATATAGTTGATTTACAGTGCTGTGTTAGTTTCAAGTGTTACAGCAAAGTGATTTAATTATGCATATTCATATATCTATTCCTTTCCAGATTCTTTTCCCATATAGGTTATTGACAGAATATTGAATAAGTTTCCCTGTGCTATACAGTAGGTCCTTGTTGATTACCTATTTTGTACATAGTAGTGAATATATGTTAATCCCAACCTCCTAACTTATCCCTCACCCCAACTTTCTCCTTTGGTAACTGCAAATTTGTTTTCTAAGTTTATGAGTCTGTTTCTGTTTTGTAAATAAGTTCATTTGTGTCCTTTTTATAGATTCCACATATAGGGATATCATCTGATATTTGTCTTTCTTTGACTTACTTCACTTAGTATGATGATCCTTAGTTGATTACTTACACATAGAACCAGATGAAAGAAGATGAACTTAAAAGCTACCAAGTTTTTCAGGAAAATGTCATTCTAAAGAAATCCCAACCTTGCTGGTAACAGTCTGCAGGTTGAAACCCAAAAGCAGAGCACTGGGCCACAAAAGAAAAGAGATGACAAAGAATCCCCGAGGTCAAAGTGAGGTCCAGAAAGCAGAAGCACAGCTGCCTGGGAGGCTGAGGCAGGAAACCTGGTTCACTGCCCAGCAGGGCTTTGTAACAACAACCAACTGCAGATGCAAAATATCTGCTGGCCTGTGGTGTATCCCCCACGCGCCCCCCTTTTCTGAATACACATTTATGTTTTCCTGTTGCTTCTCCACCATTGCTGGTTTGACAAAGGCAGACATTTGCCTGTTAGTTTGTGGCAACATTTTGAGCTGACAGAACAAACTGCCCAGCAATCAGTGTCCCAGGGGAAGGAGCTGGTGGGTGTGTGGGGCTGCGTACCTCCCAGAGACCCAAAAGTGAAGGTCGCTCAGTCGTGTCCAACTCTTAGAGACCCCAGGGCCTGTAGCCCACAAGGTTGCTCTGTCTATGGGATTCTCCAGGCAAGAATACTGTACTGAGTGGGTTGGCATTTTCTTCTCTAGGGGATCTTCCTGATCCAGGGATCAAAGCTGGGTATCCCACATTCCGGGCAGATTCTTTACCCTCGGAGCCACTTCAAGAATAACATGGAGTATTGTTCTCTGTATGGCTGACACTGCACTGTAGCTCGCTTTCCTTTACTCCTTCGCCAGCAGATCTTCCAGACCCAGGAATCGAACCAGGGTCTCCTGCAGTGCAAGCAGATTCTTTACCAGACCCAGGCATACTGCAAATAAAGAAAGGCCTGTAGGCATGCAATTAGCCCTCCAACCTCCTCTACTTTCTTAGCAATAAAATCTCAGTGTTGGCTTAGCATACCAGACCCACAATAAAAGATCTCTTTTGTCAGCTTTCTAGTGAGGAAGTATGGATATATGACTGAAGCTCTGGACAGTGACATGTGAGCAGAAGGGCTGGGGAGAGTGTGGTGTCCGATTCTCAAGCAGCCATTTTGCACCATGAGGACACATGCTAGGTCGGAGGAACAGCAAGGCAGGAGTGTGGGGACCTGGGGTCTGTGGAACCACTTGACTAGACCTGGGCAGCTGAACTCCTGACTCGTGTGTGAGAGAAATCCCCTTACCTGTCCAAAGGACAGTTAGCCCTTTCACAGTGGCCTAGGCTAATCCTAACTAATTCAATCCCAGTGGTCCAGAATTCTATCTGTTTGTCAGAACCCAAGCTTTCCTTATCTATTTGAGCACATAGCCAAACTCCATTTTCCACCTCCTTTGCAATTAGAGATGGCCATGGGTAACAAATTCTAGTCCATGGGAATCTGAGTGGCTTTCAGGATACGGCAGTGACTCCTCCCTTTTCGTGGTCCTCTTCTTCTGAGTATAGACAGTGATCATATCCTAGATGTTGGTGGAACCACAAACTTAAAGGGGTCAGAATCCCTGAATAACTACAGGAGCAGAACCCCCTAACAACCAAAACCACCACTGGGCTTAACTATTTGAAGGTGAAATAAACTTCCAATGTGCTTGATCTGCTGTGCATTTGGAAACTATTTGTTATGGGGGTTCTATATAGACCCACAGGGAGGAGGCTAAGACATTAATGAGGGTGCCCTAGGCCCCAGGTGTGGGAGCTTACATTTTGAGCTCTAGTTTGAGCAGAGAAATTTGGAAGAGGAACTCTAATTAGGAAACTTGACCCTAAATGCTGCCCAGGTTGGGGGAAGTTCCATCCT